CCATATCTTGCATCTGACTTAAGCATCGGAGTGTTCTCCCACGTTAAGCGCCCAGTGAGCGCCTGCCGTTATTCTATTTTCTCAGGTTCGGCAGGACTACATACGATCGAGTGTTACGTTGCTTATCGATACCATTCCCCTGATGATCTAGATTCACCGGGCACATATTAGAAAATCTCTATCTTTAATATACATTATAAACATAAAATCGACCACGATTTGTCTTTAATACATAGCGGTTCGCGTGGTTTGACCACCGAGCTCTGGCCATTTTTTACCAGTTGTTACACTCTACTTTGGGTCTCTCTTGTAATCTTTATTAACTTCCAAGCCTCTCCTTGAAGAATCAAAGTCTACACAGGTTTTTATTTTTGTCATTCTATGTTTGGTTTAATCTCTCTATAAATGCAAAAGGATCTTTGTTGGGTTAAAATGGTTTTAAGTTTATTCGGATTATAATGATTTTGTTGTTGTTTTTAGTTATTTTAGAAAAATGTTTTTTAATAAAACCCTACAAAAAAAATGATAATGTTTGGTGGAATCGACGAAGCATTGTGGTTTGTGCATGAACATGGTCTTATGATGGTCACCATATAAGAAGGTTTTTTTACGTCGAGTTCATGATCATGAGATGGAAATGTCGTACACACCCATCCTTCCTTACATTTCTATGCTTTGACTTTAAATGGAAGTATGTCCCTTACTTCACATGTGCAAATATATAAAGAGATGAATGGCAAGTTAATGGGTAGCTTCTTTTTCTTATTATTTTTCTCTCTAAAAGTCAAGAGCTATATGCTCTATATTATTCTTCTCTTTTGCATCGTGTAGTTTAGAGTTTAAGTCTTTATAAGTGTTTCTCCTTAAAGTTAATTTGGTATTAGTTCTTAATGGCTTAAGAAGTACTTAATACAAGAGAAGACTAGGATCTTTGGTGGTAACACTCGCTTGGTGGATACATATATACGAGCTCTACATTGGGTCTCTCTTGCAATCTTTGTCAACTTCCAAGCCTCTCCTTGAAGAATCAAAGTCTACACATGTTGTTATTCTTTTCGTTCTATGTTTGGTTTAATCTTTATATGTATGCAAAAGGATCCTTGTTGGGTTAAAATGGTTTTAAGTTTATTCAGATTATAAAGCTTCTGTTGTTTTTAGCGATTTTAGAAACCGTTTTTTTTTTAAAAAACTCAACAAAAACATGATAAAGTTTGGTGGAATCGACGAAGCCTGGTGGTTTGTGCGTGAACATGGTCTATGATGGTCGCCATATTAGAAGGTTTTTTTACTACAAGTTGGGTTTTGTACCATGTTGCATGTTGCATTTTACCTGATGTTAGCTTAAAAACATTTTTTTTGTTTGAAAATATCAATTCAAGATCTCTTACATATCTCTTACATGAAGTAAATCCATTGTTATGTAAAAAAAATGTGAGGGAGAATGACAAAAATCCTCACTTATTCGATAATTTATGACTGATTCGTTGCTCTGAATTCCATTGATAATACTTTCGCTCTCTTATACTTCTTATTTCTTCACAAAACCTCTTAAAAATATTGTGTTCTTCATACTCCCTCTTAACTTTTAACAACTGAAATCCCAAGTAGATAGGGTATCTATGGTGTCTTTAAGATTAACTTATTAGATAAGAAGATTTACTTGGAGGTACTCGAAAGAACTAAATGATGTTCTTAATTTGGTGTTATGTGGGATAAAATAATATGAAAATATATATAAGAAGATCAAATGTGCGTTAAATGGTAATTTGTATTAAAGTTAAGAGTATGTTGCTATAATTGAACATGATAGATAATAGATAAGATTTGGGGGAATTAAGGAATTGTTTACTTAAGGCATAAGTGGAATGTCTAGAGTGAAAAAGTTGATGATAATGGTTTAATTATGAACTTCACAAGTCTTGTTTTGTAGAAAAGAGAAAAAGAAACCTACGTTTTTAACCAAGTGGTGGTAGAAAGAATCTTTCTTCGCAAAGAAGAATGCAAGTTATCAATATCTCAGCTTATTTGCAAGAGATTAGAGCAATCCACTGAGGCATCTGTGCTTATTTCACACCCTTGAATGTCCATAAACTTTGGATTGTAGATGTTAGTTGATGGGCGTATTAAACTTGGAATCGGGTATAATATTATGTGCCCATCATCCGAAGACAAATTACACCAACATCCTTTTTAAAGTAATTTTCACAGCTCATTATACATGTAAGATTTTGGTCAAAAAAAAACATGACTATTTTATGAAGCATATCTCACGTCCTAAGATGTAACTGGTCGCTAGCTAATTAGGTCAAAACTAAACAGTGTTAGATGAAGACTTACAATAGGTTATTTTGTTTAAAAATAGGAACCAATAGACAACAAGTGTTTTACTCGACTTTCGTTCAAGTTTTGTCTATCAAAGTGTTAGTAGCACCATCACTAATGTAATTTTTAGGAGTTCCCATGTCTTTTACATTATGTACTTGTTTATATCTGAAAGTTGGTTGCTATTTCCAAATATATCATGGCACTAATTTCTCTCGGGAATAATTTCAAACAGAAACTTATCTGATACAAGATGTTTTATAACCATTCTATCTCAATATCTTTACGTTTTTAACCTTATACGGTTTTAAGTCCGTCAATCTTAAGAAATTCTTAATGTCTAGTTTGCTATTGTAAGAGTAAATCACATGCCTGGTCCTTATGGTTTGTTGATTATAACACCTTTAGTCCATGAGATTTGTTTGTTGCACTCTTGGTCCCTAATCCAAACCATTGTAATAGGTCCGGTCCCTTGCCCCTAATAATAATTACATGAATTCGTTAACCCTCCTCACATGAGGGTAAAACTGTCATTTTAACTTTCTCTATTTCTGGTGTTGCATGCGTATTCCAGGTTTTGCAACCCTCTCCTACTAGAATCCAACTTCTTGCTGCTGTGTGGTTCATCCCCCTTCAGATATAACTTGTGGTATTCCATCTAGGAGTGGCTGGAACTTCCCTTGATCATGCAACTGTAAAACTTCTTCTGCTCCTCCAATGTATCTACCTTTTATAAACAGCCTTGGAAGTGCGACTTTTGTGCCCAAAATCCGCCATAGTTCTTCTTTGTAATCCCAGTGGATCGATACATCTCTTTCTTGGTATAAAACATTAAAATCTTTGAGTAAAAATCGAATGCGCAAGCAATCTTTGAACGATTGTTGGTTGGTGTTGTCCCCTGTTGTTGTGTACAGAATAAGCGAATCTCTTCCTCCTGGTGGACAGATTTTTTGAAAATCCAAAAGAGGATTATCCAATTCTTTTAACAGTATGTTACGTAAAACTACGTTTCTCCTCTTTGCTTTTTGACCTTTAGCCTCGAAATCCTCCTGAGAAAAATAGATTTAGAATCATCATTTTGCATGAATGCATAAACCCTGCAAAATTCTACTTTTAGAGACTATATGTGTTGTAAGATTTTCTTAGGAATAATCTCCATACATTCTACTAGACCACAATGACGATTTTGAAATTTCTTATAAATTACAACGATAATTTCTATGCCAACAATCACTTTGTGTTCAATCTAGAGTACAATTAATATATACCTATGAATTTGAAGCACACACACATGGACATATGTATATATGTATATATATGCATGCTTATATAACTATATCTATATATTTATATAAGTCAGATCATATGTTGGAGAGAACAAGAGAAACCAATCTCGGCCCTGAATGTAAACAGTCAATGGACAAGATTACATGGGCAGTTTAATCGTTACAGGTAGTTACAAAACAATTGACCCCTTACAAATCACAACTATGGGATTAATTTGATCCAAAAGTTCTAATTGAGTTCCCTTGGTTCTCTAGTATGTATGTATGTATATATGTGTGTTTTCATATACTGTATGTGTGTAGTATAAAAGTTCACGTCTCAAACTAAAACTGTCAGTAACAAATTAACTATGGAAAGATTATAATGAAATCTTTCTATTTCAGTTTTCTTTAATAATGAAAAAAAAGGTTAAGTTACTGGTTAAAAAAAAAAAAAAAGTGGATTGAGAGGAAAAAGCAATGTACTTGATGTTTGAGAGCAGTTGCCAGCCTTTTCGCAACCAAAGCCATTGGCGGGCGATGTGACCGATCCTTTTCCAAACATTGATACGCCAGTTTTACAAATGTATCAAAAGAATTCGGTTCCATTTGTTGCTTTAGCTTAACATCAATAATATCATCTATATTTTTTTCTGTATAACACGTTACCAAGAGCCCAAGGTTTTTTCGCACATCATTATATTTTAAATCAACACAAGGCCTTGAGCACAAAACTTCAAACAATACGACGCCAAAAGAGTAGACATCTGACTCTTTCGTCAATTCGTTCTTATCTATATAGTCTGGATCACAATAGCCAAGAGTTCCTTTAGCAGTAGAGAAAAGGAATGTGTGTTGTTGATTTGCAGGGCCTTGTCTGGATAGGCCAAAATCAGCAATTTTGGCATTCCAATCTTTGTCCAACAAGATGTTGGCACTTTTAATATCACGGTGCAGTACTCTGTGTTGTGTCCCCTTGGGATCATGAAGGTACTGCAAGCCACGTGTAGCCCCAAGACATATCTTGAGACGTTGAATCCATGTGAGGCTGGGTTTATGTAGATGAAAATCAAGGCTTTTGTTAGATGCATATTCATATACAATGATCTTTTCTTTCCCATCATCACAAAATCCTATGAGTGAGATGATGTTTTCATGTCTAAAACTGGAAAGCAACATGATCTCTGTTCCAAATGTGATATCTGCTTGATTTATTGTACGATCCAAACGCTTTACAGCACCCATGGTGACACCCTTAGAGTCGATGAATTCTCCTTTATAGACCTTCCCAAATCCACCTTCAGCAATGAAATTGCCAGAACCAAAGTCGTTGGTGGCGTTTCTTATGTCTTCAAACGTAAGTCTGTATTTATCAAAATTGTCCATGAAAGAGATCTCTGTGTTTGTGGTCGACTACAACTGTGAAGAAAAAAGATAAACAATTATACATTGACATATTTGAAAGAAGCTATTGATGTACGTTTTGCCAAGAAAAATCATTAAGGCTTCCAAAGAATTAAAGTTGAAGTATTTGAAAGAGCTGAATAATATTGCATCTATTAATGTCGCTAATTTCAACAAGATTTTATACTTTCTCAAACCCCAAATCAATACTCCATTCCAAGAAACACAGACCCCACATTTGGGGATGATTTGGTATACAAAGGTCACATAAATTCTAAAATAAACAATAGCGGTAAAATGATTCATCTTTTCAAGGGACTAGTTTGGATCGCTATCGGAGGCGGAAGCAACACAGGATGTAGATATTTGAGCCCAACCAAAAGTACACTAAAAGTAAATTAATAGCCATAATCCATGGCAGAAATCAACTTTACACCTTTAAAGAATATACAAAGTTTGTTGAAAAAAGGCTGTCTTCGATCTTGGATGCGACTTTATGCTTCCGTTAGTTAAAAACAAAGTCACTTATGAGCAATGACTAACTATCGGGAAACAAACAACGATAAACTTACCTGAGATGGATGAATGGAGAAATGAAGGACAGCAACAGCAGTGATGAACCGTGAGAAGATGGAGTAAGGCGATGTACGAATGGTGACGTGAGACGGAAGAACGGCGAGGGTAGTAGATGAACGTTGACCTTGAACAATGGCAACGACCAGGAGAAGAAAGTGAAGAGCTTGTTGTGCTGTGACTGTGTGAGAAAAGAAAATAACATACCTAACCCCTCCCAATTTGATCTGTACCCATTAGTATTTTTTTTTTATGCGTGTTTAGTCAAAAATGTAGAAATGGTCCTATGTATGCGGAATATATTCGTTCTCCAAATTGAAAAAAAAAAAAAAAAAAAAAAAAAAAAAAAAACTAAAATACCATTAATATATTTAATTTTCATTTTTTTTCTTTCTTTTTTTAACTATTTTATAATTAGTAAATAAATACATAAAATCTCTCTCTCTCTCTGAGCAAGGCTGATTTGTACTTCCCTTTAAATTTTTTCCCTTAAAAACCCAGACCACCATACGCCCCTCCCTCTTCTTGCCTTCTAGAATTCAATCGATCGACTCCCACCTCCAACAGCCGAAAAAAAATATAGGGGTGAGAACACTGGTTTGTACATGGGGTGAATCATGTTTTTAGGTTTTCAATCGTTGCATCAAATTGTGCCATGGATAAGACGAAGCAAAAATCTGCAAACTAGAGCAGAAGCGAGCTACACACACCTTTTGTGTGTTTCTTCTCATGTATACCTCGGAGATCCACAAATCATGAAGGTTCGTCTCTATAAACATTTGTCGCTCTCTCCATGATTCTTGCTGGAAATCATCTGAGTGTGTTAGGGTTACAACTTGAGAATATGGGTTTAACAGGGACAATCGACATGGACATTTTGGTTGAGATATCAAGCATTCGAACAACGATTTTGGAGTATCGATGCTTGATGCGAGGAAAATTGGGTTTTTGAAGAGTATTTTTTTTATCGAATAACAACTTTTCGGGGGTGATTGGGAACGATTTGTTTGCTGGAATGAGTTAGATGAGGAAAATTGAAGATCATATTGGAGATATCGAGATTCAGGCCTTCTGGTAGGGAGACTTTAAACCCAAATGCCATCTTTGATTTTGCTTGTGTTTTTCTTATTAGATTTGAGCAATTTTGTATGGATCGACTTTAAACATAGTTTTGTATCGATAAACTGTTCATATTTTGTTGGCATATCGATTTTATTAGGTCGATTGTGGAGAGGAAGAATAAGAAGAATTAACAATTTGGTTAGATTTGTGATTGGTTGATGGGTTTTATGAAGAACCCCATAAGGAATTTGGTTAGTTCATCTCATCTGATGAGATTTGGATTGGGGAAGAAATTAAAACAATAGAATATGTATATTTATTTGAGCTTATGAGAAGTGGAACTTTTAAATGTGATATCGGCTAATCTGGTTAATTAAAACAAAAAAGAATTGTGGGTAAGGTGAAGAACACAACAATAGAGGTGGGTGATGTTAATTTTGTTCTTATGTCTATTGCGCACACACACAGAGCAATTTTCTGTATTCATTTATTAATTATAAAATAGTTAAAAAAAAATAGAAAGAAAAATGAAAAATAAATATATTAACGGTATTTTAGTTTTTGTAATTTGGGGAGGGGCCTTTTCCACATAAAAATAAGCTCAAAAAGACCACTAACCCAAAAAAGTCGAGGTTTGGACCAAACCTCAGAAAAAATGCATACCACATGGACCATTTTTGATGTTTTGTCTACATTAAACCAAGTTATCCTCTTTCTCCCTCTCTTAATGTTTAGTTTTGTAGTGACCCGGATTATGATGACATGTGCGGAATAGTAAAGATCAAGTGAATCAATCAATTATCAAGAACACCAAGAGTAAATAAAATATGTTTAAGCTCTCATTAGATCTAGTAAACTATTACAAAGTGAGTCTTTCAATAATTCTCTCATTAGTCTAATCTCTCCAAAATGGGTCTTACTTAAAATGGGAGCCGCTCACTTCCTATTTATAGGAAGGGCTAAACCTATTACACATCACAAGAGGGTAAGCCACATCCAAGGAGAACTTTGCACCCTAACATTCACCCCCTCAAAGTTAGGATTGGGTGTCCCGACTTCAATTTCCAAACGAGTTTGCGCGTGATCAAGATCAGCTCCCCCTCAAAGTAACAGTGGTCTTCAAATCTGCCTTGAAAAGGAATACCCGAGAAGCTTCGAATACCCATTTCTACATTCTCCTTCTTTTTGTAATCAACAAATGATTATAAAACCCACAAAGGATGAGAAGCGCTTCAGGAATAACCATGACGAGACTCCCCCTCGATGTATGCCAACAATCACGAAAAGCCGAGAAAATTTTCCAAATTTTGTGAAAATTTCGACTTTTGGGTGAGAGTTGCAAGAAATTTGAAAACTGGGTATAAACTGACAAGTTTGCAAATTCTGCAGGGACTCGTTGTGCCAAATCAGCTTTAAATACGAAACTTTACCCCAAATGCAAAACTGGGCGTAAAGTATCAATTCGCATCAACTTCAGGTATTACATTCGAAATATTTTCCCACTTTACAAAATTTTTCCCCCAAGACGAACTTGGCAGAAATTGTCAAAATTCTGAAACTTCGGGGATTCGAAATGAAAAATTGTCATTCTTCACAGAAAATTACTCCAATTCGAAATTGGGTAGAAAGTGCCAATATGCTGAAAGATTAGGGACTCAAATCGAAATGTTGTATTTATCTTCCCCAATTCGATACTAGGATGCGAACGAATGGACTCAACATACATCAGTCGAAATCTCAATGCACAACTCGAACCACTCCAAGGAACGCATTGTCGAATGTGTGTTCGACTCCAAGTAAAAATCAACACAATCGAAAGTAAGCTTCTCGATTCGAACAACTCAAAAAACCAATTTGTTCACATATACGAACCACATAGCACAAACAATTAAATTCGATTATGACCCCAAGCAAACACGTTCGACCCTACGGTTTTCCCAGTACACAAACAAACCGGTCGAAATCAAATTCAAGATCTTTCGAACAACAAGCAGGTTCACATGAAAAAGCTTTCGACTCCAAACTCCAATTCATACCTGTAAAAATTGACTTTAACTTCAAGTACATTTGATGTGAACAACAACATTACTAGTCGAGTCAAGTAGATAAATCTTTAGTCTAACTTGATTTCGACTTTAATCGACTCCAGTCACTCACTTTGACTACGTTAACAAATATACGTTTTTTGCTATGTGACTTTCAACCAATCAGTCGAATTCAACAATAGGCTTTCGACGCAAACAACAATCATCAATCGAATCGCGATTTCAACTCCAATTGACTCCATTCTAATCGAATCAAGAATTGATTTTTGACTATGTGGGTTTCAATTTCGACCTAAGCACTTGATTTGAATTACGTTCTCACCCAATTTGTTCCAGACTTGAACTAACATCACCATTATTCATCAATTGAACTCGATTCATGTTTCACTACTTATCATCAAAACTCGTTCGACGTCATATGAATATTCCAAAATCTAAATCGATTTCAAACAATATCATCAAAACTCGACTTCAAACGACTCCAACGAACATAGGATCCAGACGGAATCAAAATCGATTCCTTAAACATCTAAAGTAGACCTCTTGATAACGCACTTTTGGTTTCGTTTCCAAATGATCACAAGTAACAATTTTTGATTTCGATTATTAGGTTTCACTTTCGATCTAAAATCCAAATCGAACAAACCAACATTACGAAACCAATCAACTGTGAACGTGAAGGTCCTGATTTTTCAAAAATCCAAATCAAATATTATCATTTCAATGTGAATGTGAAAGTAAAAGTCTCGATTTTGATTTCCAACTATGAATGTGAAATCACTTCTTGAATTGACTTTCACTTTGATTCTTGTTGACTTAGAATTGATGTTTGGGCTCAAACAAATTAACAGCAACACGATTTTAGATTGGGCTAAAAAATGGTTAGATGAACAACAAGAATTTCAAGTAACAGGATCGAATTTGTAACACTCCAAGTCAGGTATTACCCTTTGAACCCTTTAAATTATAAGTAATGCATAATGGTCCCTTAAGTACGTTGGGCGTACTTCAGGAGTACGCTTAGCGTACAATGCATGGATGATCGCGGAGGGTCAGCACGGGCGTACGTGAAGAATGTTCAAACCCTAATTTCCGGACTTAAGACCTATATAAGCATCCTTATCTCATTTGAGCACAACCCTAACCAGCCTCCTTCGCCCTCAAACGTCCCTAAAACCCTAGAATCATTAGAGTGTGTGTTCTTGAGCTTGTGAGTGCTTTAATACCATCTTCTTGGTGTGTTAGCTAAAAGGAAGAGGAGGAAACAAGCTTGAACGAGAAAGGGCTTCTGGATCTTGCATTTAGAGCAACTTAGGAAGGTTGAGGAGGTAAAAAGCTTCTTCCTTGGCCATCATTGTCATTTCTAGAGCTAGGGTTTTCTATATAGTCCCTTTTTGTGTTCATGAATCATCTCTTGGGAGTATCAGCAACTCCACAGCTTAAGAAGGATAGATCTGAGGTCCCTTGGTCCATTCATATCATAAAAATGTAGTCTTGTTGAATGTTTTGAACTCATGCATGAGTTAAGACCCTTGGAAAGGTCTTAATGGGTTGTTGGGGACATATGGAGCATGCAAAGGCATAAAGTTGCCAATTTTATGCCTTAGGACGTCTTAATGGACTCAGATCTAAAGTTGGACATTGAAATCCCAAGTATTAAGCACTTAATGGTCATTTATGCATACCAGACTAGTACGTCGTGTGTAGAAGCATGTACGCAGCGCGTTCGGCTAAAGGAGCCAGTACGTTGAGCGTATAGGAGTGGTACGCAAGGCGTACGCACTCAGTTGGACTTTGGGCTTGTTTTGGACTTGTAAGCCCTTTGGGCCTTAATCGGTTATTGGGCCTGGTCATGTTTTGAGTTGGTGGTCCAATTTATCTGTTTTGGGCTATGGTTGCTATGGTTGGGCCTTATTGGACCAATAGGCCCATTAAGAGTTTTGGACATGGACTTTAAGCCCATTAGCAAAGGAAAGACTGTTGGGTCACTATGGAAGGACTTGGGCTTAGGTAATTGGGCTTTTTAATCAGATTGTATACAATCCTAATTTTAGGTTAATGGCATTATAGTTCAGCACGGGTGGTTTCGGACTATTAGGCGAGCAGCTTTCGAGTTCAGCAGACAGAGGTGAGTCTCCTCACCATACCAATGTGTCTAAGGCACCAAGGCCGGCCCATTTTATGATATGTGGATTGTTAGTTGATTATGTGATATGTTGATATGACATTTGTATGGAAGACCCCGGGGGGTTCCCGTGGCAGTAGATTAAGACCATGTGGGGGTTCCCATGGCATTTGGTATAAGACCTTGGAGGGTTTGCATGGCATCCTAGTATGTTTGCATGTTTAGCTTGTATGATATTTCTTGGTTAGCTAAGACCATGTGGGGGTTCCCATGGCAGTTAGTGAAGACCATGTGGGGGTTCCCATGGCAGGTAGCTAAGACCATGTGAGGGTTCCCCTGGCAGTTAGTAAAGACCATGTGGGGGTTCCCATAGCAGATAGTTAAGACCACATGGGGGTTCCAGTGGCAATCGGTGTAAGACCTTGGAGGGTTTCCATGACACTCTTATATATTTGTATGCATGGATTATGTGGTTTATGTAGCCGTTATAACTAATTTGGATTATGTGATTATGTGGATTGTGTGGGGTATGCTCTGGGGAACTCAC